GGAGTTGGACTCTGCTTTGTCACCTTGCCTCTTCCTTTATGTTACGCTTCGATTACTGCGATCTGCATGGGCTTGCGCCTGTTAATACGTACATACAAACCGACACATCCGACACGTTGTCCCCCTCCCATTGGATCCACTTAGAGATACTTCGACCGTCGTGCTTTGGATCGGCTATCGGACAGGGTAACTTTTCGAGGATCCAGAATCAATTCTAGGAGCCACTGAAAGAGTCCCGTCGTATAGCCAAGTTGCGAGTACGACGGTAAAATTAGGAGACGATTAGGAACGATTGCAATTGCGAGAGTGCACGATGGTCACGGGAATGCACGCGTATACGTGAATTCACGTGAGGCATCTGTCGATCTCCTCTACGACGGATCGGATTTGTGGAGATTAATGTTAACTTATATCGATCTAACTTTCATTCGTACCGAGCTATCGCTAAAATTGTAAAACCTTTTTATATTTTTTTACTTTTCAATAAGATCATGACTCGGATGAAATTAGATGTGAAATTCTTCTTCCAATATAGATTGATCAGGTAATTGTAACTGATAAATCGCGAAAGATCATCTTTTATAGATACAAAAATTATTCCATCTCGATAGTAAAGTAAGATACTTTACTATGTTTGCTTGAGATACTTATTATTAGTAAATTTGCATTTGTTTTGAGAGGATATCTAAGAAATAAGTCGTTTTATTCTATATCGTAAACTTCCTTCAATTCCGCATTGCGACAAGTGTAGATATATTTCTTTCTTTACGCGTACAATTGGATTAGACAAACGCAGAATATCGAGTTTGATATATTTAATATCAAATTCACTGTTTTGCTTGCATCGTTTCTTACTTTTCATTCCTCCTACAGCTTTCAAGAAAAACAGCTTTCGAAAGCAAAGGAGATATTGGCTATCGAATAGACATTTTATTATTTTAGTCGATTTCGCAATATCGCGAAAGAATCTAGTCGCTAGTTCTCGACGAACGCGATCCTCGAATCTCGGAGCGAGATCGTCAGAGAGCCACCGCACCTGTAACGTCCTCGTTCCTCACCGAGTCACCCGCTGACGTAGCCATCCAATAGCCATCGATCGCGTCCTTTCTGTTTCAGTCGGTCAGCACGAGGGCGAGGCGAACGATTACTACTTCAGGGACTCTTTCGATCACTCCTCGTCGGAAAGCCAGCTGCTGGACGCGTCTGGCAAACCGCACAGCCGCTCGGTCACGCCGATACCGAAGATGCAGAAGCTCCAGAACTCCAAGCTTTGCCTCCAGCAGCAACAGCAGCAACATCACCAGGGCGTGCGGCGTGCGGCGGGCGGCAAGACACTCAGACACAGGAGTCTGCACGTGGTCAGGATCTTTATACCGGCGTTCATGCTGACGATCACGGTGCTGTTCATCGTGACGGTGTTGGTGTTCGAGACGGACACGACGCTCTTCAACAGCCTGCGCAAGACGCCGGAAATGGTGGCCTTAAGGAGCCAATATTACGTTCCGATCAAGGAGTTCCTGCGGACCAAGCTCGGCCTATTCTGATGCGACAAGATGACTGGGCCGAGGTCGTTCTATGTCATCGCGTAGCTCGCTCTCCCTTCAGTGCCAAGTTGTCAGGACGGACTCGTGACTCGGACTCGATTGAGAGAAATCTTACGGCCCCCACAAGGTCGCGGAAAAAAGAAAGGAAGGAGGTGCACATCTCTTTTCCCTATCTCTCTGGTTTCCATCAGCCTGTGCGCGCCGTCGCGTCGCAGCTTGGTCGCACGAGCGTAAGTGCTTCGGACCGAGAGAAGACCGAGTGCTACCAAAAGCTTAAAAATAGGTTGGAACGGAGAGGAGAGACGAGAAATATCGCGTTGTCGGAAGATCAGACAAAGTCGGAATCTCGCGTAGTAGAAACGCGAGTTCTAATGTAACTCGACCGACAGGAAATCAGAATTCTGTATAAAGGAAAAAAAAAAAACTGTACAAAGATTGTATTTAATCGGGATGTAAGCAGGATGTATGTATAGAATTGTGTTTATACGTTTCTATTTTATCGGAAATGTTCTTAAATTGTTTACGCCATTTTTACGAAAAACGGCTTTACGGCCGAGTGTTTTATTTCATCCGACTTTTCATCAGTTGATTCGCTATCATGCGAGTTGTTGCTGACTCGTCTACTATTTTGGCAGGATGTGAATCCACAAAAACCTGAACTATATTTATCTTGCAGATGATATCAAGTCCCGCCAATTTTCCTTACGAAATAACAACCTCTTGCGGAAATATTTTTGCAATGTAATAGAATATACTTGTTTAATAAGCAATACTGATAGCAGACTTATTAAATATATTTCAATAATAAATTTTAATATTTCTATATTGTAATTGCAATGAATGATCAAAAGATTTTCTCTCAAAAACGTTAAAACCTCATTCGAATTTAATAATTAAACGAATTATTAATTTTGAAAATGGCATTAGCTCAATCATGGAAAATTCGTCATACACACACACACACACACACACACACACACGCACGCACACACACACACACACACACACACACACACACACACACACACACACACACACACATATATATATATATATTGCATGAAATTTTGGTCGTTATCTCAAATTACCGTATTTTACTTATGTTATTTGAGGGAAAAAAAGATTACAAATTTCGGCTATAAGAAGAGCTCGATTTTGTTCGGTGCGAAATATCTTCCGGACTCGGATGGACGTTATGTATACATATATAGTGCGAGGTGATTGGTTATCGAATGGCCTATCATGTTACTATGAAAAGGACGAGAACAGAAGTGCTCTTTCTTTGGACTTTCACGAGACCTTCCCCATGTGTCTCCACGGATAACTCAAAAAGACGCGCAGAAACGCAACGTTATGCGCGCATACCAGTATAAATAGGCAAAGTAAAAGTATTTTGACATTGCAAAGAGATGAAAGAAAGAGCATATACACATACACACGTGGAAGCGAATGTGTAATATATTATACATATAAATATATATATATATATATACAGATCACTGACGAGGCGACACTACCTAATTATAGGAATTTTAGATTATTTTAAACCGTCAACGAAAAGCAATCGTTTCGTAGATAATCGTAGATAGGCTATATACGTGCAACTCTAGTACGAAAATGATGGAGGATATTGCGTGGCAGCGTTGAATTTACGAGGCTCCTCGCTGATTTCGGCCCGCTGTCGGTTTCTTTGCGTTCTTATTCGGATGTGCGCGAGCGTAGGTACGCTTGATGTGCGTAATCACTTTGTCTCGTCATCTTATTCTGTAGCGAGAGTATAACATCCTTCATCGCAGCGTGCAAATTCTCGATATATATCTTAAGGACATGTCTCTCCTACGAAAGTGAGACCCGCCTCAGGACCTGCCTTCGCAAATACGTATCGCGATAGGCTATAAAATCAATAAACTATAAAATGAAAAAAAACACTGATTTTCTTTTTAAATTGAAATTAAATTAAATTAAACACCGATTTTTTTTTCCTCATGTCTTACGTGAATATAAAATATAAAATGTAAATAAATCATATAAATTGAAAAGGAGGGATTAAGCTAGATTGAACAATAAAGTGCATATACTTTTGAAGCTTTCATGGATATTTTCTTCAAAGTTGTACTGCGATTTATTGTGTCTTGATCCATTATGCATGAAGGCACGATGGAAGCGCGCAAATACCACAATACAATTTTGAAAGGACAGATGCGTTAATTTTTAATCGTGTGAATTTTCGAAAGAGCTCTTATCACATTTTATGGAATTGTAACGCACAATTTTTGCGAAATTTTATGAAAACTGCGTGTACATTAAAATTCAACTTGCATATTTATCCGGACATGTTCGCCTGCACAGGCAGGTCCTGATTCGTCTTACGTCTTAGACTGAATGTCCGCTCCGGAGCGTTTTACTGTCGAAAGCGGCAAAATTTTGCTATTTCGACAGGAAAAATTTTTTCCGATGAAAATTCCAGTTGGTGACTCCCTCTTGATTCTGTGTTGAATCACGGAGTTGTACAGTTGATACATTTGTCCTCGGGAAGAAGGGCTTCTAACTCTCGAGTGGACACGCAGCCTCACTGTCAGCCATTTTTCCTAAAAGTGCCTACGCTATCTTACACCCTTTCGTGTCATTCGATTTGTTCGAAATCCGCCCTGAAGCTGAAAAGACAAAAACAAAAGTGGGGTGGCGCGAGGAGAAAAACAGAAACTATATAAATTAACGAATCTCATGTCGATCTTGAAGCGATCTCTGGCGGCGATCTCTCCTGTCCGCGAAATCTGTTCACGTCTCGAGGTCGTTGAAATAAGATCTTGAGAGCGAATTCAGTGGAAGGCAGATTTATCAGCTCGCGGGGCAGCTTTCCGACGATTGATGAAGAGGAAAGTTGTTGTCGACCGAGTACAGACGGCTCTAGAAAATTAGAGTGGTAACTGTGCGAGATGTACGACGTATCGCTGTTAATAAAGCAATTCGGGAGTTCGTGAGATTTCGGTCTCGTCTTCCCCAGATGAGCGATTAACAAAACCTCTCGTCTACTCTATTATTAGCGTTGCCGGGGAAAACGCACGTTTGAACATCAAAACTTCCGCGCTTTACTAATAAGCCAGCCGGGGGATGGAGGATTAGTCTTAAATCAAAATTTAATCTGCTTAAAGCGGATGACGGAGGCAAAGATTAATGCGTACAAATAGATCACGTTTCGTTTTCGACGGCTAAACACATTTCGTCGGAGCAGGAGAACGCCGATAAGCTAACTGTATAAATAAACGGATGTCAATTGCAATTTAATGTAACTCTAGTTATTAATTAAGAGTACCCGCTCGCTGGACCAGTCAATGTAAAAAAAAGAAAGAAAAGATTTAGACGGAAGAAGCGGTAAAAGAATTGCATCGGGATGCGGAGAGTTGACATATTACTTCTTAACCGAGATCTGGGTGATTCTGCTTCATGAACAATTTCTGGGAGTGAAATTATTCGATGGACATAGAATAAAGAAAAATTTCTTACAATGCCACGTTCAATTTGTTCCTCTCTCTTGACGGTAAAATTCATATAACCGAGCTAGAATGATGAATTGGAATTGGGGATTCCCGTTTGCAATTATCGCAAGTCTCGTTTATAAAAAAAAAAAAAATACACATTTCACTGGAGTAAAACTTTCGAATAGACGCTCAGTCTAAAATCCGACGACAAATCCGAAGTGCGGACAGTTTTTGAGGGATAGAACTGAATGATATATTGAAAGTTCGAGATCGTCGGGACGTGGCACACAGCCTCTACGCGATACAGAACTTTTCAGAACTTTACCCGAATAAAATTAAGATTATCGATAGATTTACTCGCAGCTGTAAATAGAAAAGAAAAAGATTCATTCGTAATGCTAAAATTGTGAAACAGCGAATCGCGTGCTCTTTGCGCAACGATTAAGGACGAGCGATATACAGGACGTGTCTAAAAGATAAATGTAACGTATGTTTTTTCGATAATTTAGATCCAGTTGACAACGTAATTACGTACTGGTGACATCTCTGATGTCTCAGACGTTATAATCAATAATGATAATTTAGATCTCTTCGATTCGGGAAATCGCTCAACGGAAAGTTCAGCTATTTTGGAATAGCTGACAGTTCCTTATTAGACAGTCTCTTGCGTTGGATCTTTAGTGAAGTGAGAAGTAATTCGAGATTTGTGATTTAAAAATATGTAATCACGTTAATATGTACGATGTTTTAAAAATACTGTTACGACGTAGTTGCGCAAGAGAGCTTTGACAAACTCAAAGTCAAAATATCTCCCGATTAATCGATATATTCGTATTGCCGATAAGATTTTTTTGTATTATCAGTTGACATTGTTGCAGGTCGCGTCTCATCTTTATTGTAAATTTAATCACAGCGTAACGCGAGGCTGCGGTAAATCCTCACTTAAGATTTATTGTTAATGAACATCTCGTCCTTCGCATGTAAAATCCCCAAAAAAGTTCGTTCTCTCTCGTCAAGCCGTAAAATTCGTAACATCTTTCCGACGCGCAATCGGATGTGATTGCTACTCGAATGCTGAAATACGTCACTGTACGTCAATTTTTACTGTAATTACTCGATATCGCTGCCGAAATGTGCGGATCTTCATGTAAATGTACATCTATCGCCTACTGCGTTACTTTTTAATAGTCGTTGTGAGGTTCGTTATTCTCGGGATTGATTCGTTAGATATTTATTTATTTTAACGACTAATGGATAAGTAATTTTATTCGCTGTAGCTGCTACGTAAGTAAATTTTAACCGGACCTTCGTAACGGCGACGCGATCGCAGGAATAATTTAACAGAGGGCTAAATACTACGTTGTGTACAAATGCAGGCGGTGGACGTTGGTGTAAATGCAATGTTAATTAAAACGGCCGACACGACGACGAGGATGGAGGCTCTGCGCTAATCAAAACGAAATATCGATGATAATCTCTTTCTACAATCTCCATTCGTATGTACACTTTTTGTACGCTTGCAAATTGTAGCCAACAGTTGTAGTCGTATGAGGGGTGCGTTTTTTTTTCTTTTCTGGTCTGTTAGTCTTTGAAATTTTGTATCGCATGCATGAATAAACAAAACATTTCATTGCAAAAACCTCGCGAAGCGAAATATTTAATAAAATGCCATTCAGAATTTTGTGGCTTTCCTTTAACAATTGAAGTAGCGATCTAGCTGATTCCTCGAATTCATTCGAACCTCTCGTTTCTCTATCGAATAAAACACCAATTAGATAATAGATCAGAACATTTGATAAAATACACTGAGAACAAAGATCTTGATTATTAAAACAAGAGCATGACGTACTGTTTCATTAATAATGTCATTGAATTAACGAAATTATTTCCAATTAGACTATGCTGTTGATTCAACAGCATTTTTTTCTCAGTGTACCAATCAGAGGTTTGTGACTTTTCTTCGACAGTCGAAGTAATGACATAATTCCTACACTTTATTTAAATCTTTGGTTTCTCTGTCCCTATCGGATAAAACACAAAGTAGATATTAATATTATTCCGATATTAAATATTATTAATAAATACTAATATTATTAGTATTTATTAATAATATTTAATATCGGTATTAATTTTTGTAGCTAATTATAATTGACAATCAAAGTCACGCGGTCGTAAAACGATCGTAAAACGAAAATAAGCTAGAAGTGTGTTTATTTTATCGCTAATAGGTGCTTAAGCGGTGCGTGAGTTTATTTAAAAAACACGAGTAACATAATATTAATAGAGATACGAAAGTTGACAGCGGAATAATCTAATCAATGATGATGATAACGAAAAATCGCAACAACGCCTTACTTAGTCACGCGTGCAATTTAAAATAGAGAGATATATATCATTTCATCAATATAGCATTAGCGAGAATAGCGAGACCACATAATGTGGATACAATCATGATTCATCGTGCCGTGATTTTAATAGTATCGCGGTATTTGTCGCTGATTTTCTCAAACGTCATCTTCAAACGTAAACGCTCAACAGATAAAATTCTCGCGATGAACACGTAAATGAAATTACGTTTAAATGGCAAAGCCATTGTCTGTGATTGAACTTCTAAAATATTAATTATCTTAGCGGAAAGCCGTTCGGGATTCGGGCACGGAGATCGGGAGCCCTCTGTCTCGCGAAAAACTGGGACGAGTTCATCCGTGGAAAGTGAATTAACGACGGCCTTGGATTAACGCGACCTGGCAGTCGCGTGGAGGGAACGCGATACGTGGGCTACACCTGCCCCGTGAAAGGAGAGTATCACCTGCCATCGATGTTTTTGCTAGGACCTAATACCGGAACGACCATTGCCAATTACCATTACCGCCTCGTGTATACAAACATCAAGTTGAGCGAGTATCGAGTCAACTTTCACGTTTCGAGATGTATGCCGATTTCCCCTTTTGGCTGTCGTTACCTCTACCTCGTATGTACGGTGTTAACCGTTTGAACGACAAAATCAGCAGACAAGTTATTATGACTGAGTAAATAGAATTTCACGCGACGACCCAATTTGACGTGTAGCAGCGCGCGTTTGAACGTCTCAGAAGCTCCAGACTGATCAACTCCGCGAGATAAAAAGTAGAGAAGACTGACGGAGCTGTGAGCTAATCCGAGTTATGTGCTTTGGCAAGAAATTTATAAAAAGTGTCGAGTCGCTCGGTCTGGCTTCCGAGAGGCTTGTAAAGTACATAGGAAAAAAAACTAGCCTTAAAATAAGATAATCTCATATAAATATAGCAAGAATATATTTATGTTTTTTAAAAAATTTTAATTTTGATTCGACATCGATACAAGTGTTATTTTTATTCAACTTAAAATTAAAAATCTTCTATGAAATTATAATGAGAATATCGATACACATTGCATTAATGCTAATTCAACCAAATCAAGACTAAAATTTGCTAAGA